TTTAGATGACATATTCATAAATGTTAGACAAAAACCTGAAAACCGAAACGTCTTCGATTATTCGTCAGCTGTTTATAAATAGGCGCGCCCCCTGACTTGTTTTTATTTTACACTAAACTGAGCGGGGAATTTTAAAAGAAATCTGCATGTTGAAGCAGTAGGATGGTTCTCCCTGGATTTTGAATGACCTTTTGAGTAGCTTTCTTGACAACCTTTTGATGTCTTTGACGATGAAAACGGAATGGCAGTGAATATTCTCTTTAAAACTCGAGTCGAAGCAACCGAAAAGGTGACACAAAACTGCACATTTCGCAATCCAAGAATCAAAGAGAAAAATGAGACTTGCGTACTGGTTATTTCTTCTTTCCATACTATTTTACACCTGAAAAAATAAGTTGAAGGAAATTGCCTAGTTCAAATGAATATTTGCGCTTTGAGACTGATTATAAAAGAAGATGAACAAGACCCAGTGGATTTCATTTTCACATGGCCTTTCTTGTTGTAGACATACTAAACCAAAGACAGCTTAATAAATATCTATAAATTAGTGACAAATGGCCATTTTTGCAGGGGTTCCCCTAACTTCAAGGAAATAAAATATTTTGAACTAATTTTTTTCCATAATCATTTATTCATCAAACCCAACATTTGTGTCAAGTTTGAGCGAAATCGGTGATTTGAGCTGTACCACCACCTGCCTGGTTCTCTCATGGACACGCTATTAAAATAAATGGAAATAACTTGGAACTATTCCTTGCATACAGCTGGCGCGCCTAAAACACTGAATTGACCAATGAGGATTCAGCAGGCGGGAAAAGCTTCACTGTGCTGACGTCAATGTAAGTTAAGAGGAATAGCATTGAAATCAGACAACTCTTTTCAGTGGAGATGGCCTTAAATATTCACGAAAAGGGATTTACATTTCTCAAAACCATATCAGTTTGTAAAAAGTGAAAAAATGTATATCTTTTAAGTGTTTTAATTAGGTTGCTTTGCATAGTTCCCATTAGGTTAATTAGGCCTTTATATATCACTCCTTGTGAATATCACGCCACTTGACGCCGAACAGTTTACTCGAGGGTACGTTATTTTATTTCTGTTGAGTTTTTCGTTCAATGCCGGGCGACGACGAAGAAACGGATACTCGAGAAGATTTAACCGAGTTCGGCCAGCATCTTCTCTACTCGAGCAGCTCAAGCCTTACACTTCTGAGCGCTCTTCTAAGTTAGAGAAGGCTTCTACCGACGCTGAGAGCGCGTTAGCTCTCTCTAAACAGCTCAAAGTCGAGCGCGAGCTCAAATTTTCTTAACGTAGAAACGAAAGGAACTATATGTTCAACCTTGAAATTTTGGATCATCTCGAAAGGGTTTTGAAAGCACTTCATGTTCCAGATTCAGCGGAAGCATCCCAACTTTTGAACGACTCTATTAAACTTATCAGAGGGCCACTAGTTT